GCCAAGTGTCATTACTACTTTTCACAAGGAATAACTGCCTAAACAGTTTCACATTCTGCAGTGCATCAACAGTGCTCTTCCTCCACTCAGTCTGCAGTTCAGAAGAGTGATGGAACAGTAATGCATGTCTATCTTATTGTTCTACATGGAGAGATAAAATCTAGTGCTCACTCTATGCCTCTTTAAAAGTTAGGGTATTTGTTTCTGGAGTCTTTTCATCAAGATATGCAGTTGTATATCACCTCTAAGCCCCTGATCATATTTCAGGTGTCTACAAGGTATTTGCATTAAACTTACTGCGTTTACTCAAAAAGCATATTAGAGGTTCCTCTCTCAACACTACTGATTAGATGACAGATCCCAACTACACAGTTAATTCCACAGTCAGGTGTAGACAATAAGGACTAACAGTGGCCAAGTGCTGATAGGATTTTACTTCCAAAATATTTTCAAATTATTCACTAGCACTCTTTCTTTCTCTGCATGTGTTTTCTAGAAAGTAGATGGAATATCAAAGAAATGCAGGGGTGCAGACTGTTAAATGCTAAGATTATGACTAAAACCATGAACTTGTAACCAGAAACCAGGAAATAAAATATCAGAAAGAAGCATTTTGGCTAAGAAATGGAATGAGAAGAGGTGCAAAGGGTCAATATTGAAGAACAACCAGCAATTTACTAAGCTGAAGAGCAAAGCCACAGCCCAGTAAAACTCCATATTATAAGTTTAGAGCTAAGATGAGAAGCTGCCAATGCTTGAGCTAGACAAACTATGGTCCCTCAATGTCCAGAGATAAGGATTAAAAAAACTAGAAAATAACCAAAGGAATAAGGTCGTAGCCAGGGTTTACGTTATGCAGCCACACATTGAGAGAGCTTCATAAGCTTGGTTGCTACAGCTCTGTCTATCCAGAATTTTATGTGGGTCGCCAGCCTTCTGAGACCCTGCCTGTGGTAGCCTGGTGGCTTTTTGCACTTTGCTCAGCAGGGATTGACAAGAGCCATCAGGAAAACCATCAAAGTAGACACCTGAGCTCAGATCTCAGATCTCAGTGACTTTTGTTGGGACTGACCAAACTGTGTGCTTTTAAAAACCCACCCCTAGTTCCCTGCAAAGTGATGGCTTCCCATACGGTCTGGTATGCTTACAACTATGAGTGTTTGGTGATTTGTGACCTCCTCTCACTCATTATCACTCCACTTAATGTCATGACAAAAGAAGAGTAATGATTCTTTTTTTTGCAATTGTAACTAAAATGCTGCCAGAGCAGAGGGTACATGTTGGCCGAGGTTTTTATTATGCAACTGTATGCAGATCACTGTGAATTGCATCGTCCATCTAGTTCAGTGATGCAGCACCAAGGTCACTGGGCAGTTTAAGCTAATGATGCAACCATAAGTCTAATAAATGTGCTCAGTAACCACAGCAAACGTATTGTCATTGTCGCAGATGTTATTCTTTCAAAAGCACTTGGCAAACAACTAAAACACAGCCCCTGTGTTTGCTTTGACCTCCTCTAAGAATGCACCATCAGGATTACTGAGAAGATGAGATTCTTTAAGAAGACAAGTCATGGCCTACAGCTGCAGTATTGGTATTGCTCATAGCACTCTTGCAGTTTGCTTAGAATAAACAGGCAAGAGGATAACTGAACATGAATCAGTGAAATTTTGACAGAGAGTACACTTTGGAAGAAAAGGTATCCATGAGTGATACCAACACAGGTAGAGATCAATTTCTTATTACAATTATTTAGGCAAGTCAACTTTAATTATGCAGTTGATTTTTGTAGCCATCATTATACAGTAACCCATTACATGCTGATCCAGTAATCTTTTCTTATCTTTCAGGAAATACATTAACCAGTAACTGCATTGTGTCACCATGAGCTTTGTCATTATATGCAGTGATTCCCCACAGGGCATATCAAATGCTGCAATTGCTGTTTCTTTGGAAGGATATACATCATCTCCCAGGCTGGGTTCAACAGATGGTTGATATTATGCCCTGAAAAGCAGCAATCTACTGTTCAGAACTTGTTGCAGCTCCAGTGTCTTGCACCCTATCATATATGCGTATATCTCTATTTTTGCAAATCTCTATGGATATATATTCTTATGTTCATCATGTATTCTAATCTGACAGGCATGAAGAAGCCCACAATGGTCTGACCAATAAATATGCTCTTGACAATAAGGGAGAAAAAGGAAATTAAAAACAAACACAATCTCTTGATTTCTTGCTTCATTTATAATAATTATTGATAGGAATAAAGATGAGTAATTCAGCCTTACTGTAAAATTCACTTAAGACCATTCAGTGAACAGAGAATGCCAATGTGTGAAGAGGGCTGTTTAGCAAGGCACTGAAATAAAGTGGTGGCAAGAGAGGTCTAAGTCAAGACACAGAGCTGTCTTTTCTCAAATGACATAAACAACACAGTCATGAAATGAGGTCACAGTTTTGTATATAAGAACCTTGGTGGCTTCCAAGCTAAAAAACCTAGAAAAATATTACCCTTTGCTAATGGAGCATTTTCACCAAGAAGCACAGCGTGTGCCCAACTCAATGTGTCAGCAGCTTTCTGCCCTCAGTTTAGCTTACCAACAGTTAAACCATTCAAGGTCATACTATAACCTATTAGAGATGGCATGTGACAAGATGATTTTTGATAAAGAGTAGAACTTTGCTACTACAGAAGTGGCCAGGGAGAGGAGGTCTCCATATGCAACCTCACATTTTGTCAGCAGCTGCTAGTCATATAAAAACATTTTATTGCCCTTGCATAGTCAGCCACATGCTATGGTTTCCTCTCACTCAGAATATGTTCACTTTCATACCCCCCTGCATTTAGCTGCAATAGAACAGCAGAATGTTTACATTACAGCAGAATGCTGCATGCTTTTATCTAAGGGTGACCTTGAGTATGCCTGGCACACAAGAAGTGCAGTGGAAGGCAGGCAAACACTTTTTCTCCTACACCTCTGCCATACTGTCTGTCCCCCACTTATACCACCCTTTGAATTTAAAGAAAGGACCTTCATAAATGCCCATTTTTGTGAGTGAATGCACATTAAGAACATTTCATGTGCATGCTATGAAGAGCAAGAAACCTAAGACAGATTAGGAAACTTCACTCTCCAAAACCAAAATTATTTTTCCCTTTATGTTCTGAAGCCTATTTGTAAGTCTCATGAATTTTTTTAACTGTTTGAAGTGGGAAGCCTGAATTAAAAATCAGTATGTGACCCATTACTATTTTATAAGCCTCTATTTTGCAAGTGGAAAGCAACAGTTTGCCAACCCTGTATTTAAACTTCCATGGAAAGATATGAGTGAGTTAAATATGAGAGCCTAAGCAAGAGAAAATACAAGACAGCTAGATGGTGTTGGGAAAGCCTGTCCAGAGAGTCAGAACAAGAGCTTATTACCAAATATACTTGTTTTAATATATGTGTTATACTTGTTTATACTTGATCTTAGATCAAAATAACGTTTATTTTTCATGAACTAACAGTTTGTGCTAGTGACCATAATATTTTTATATTTAGGAAGCACACACAAGAATAACATTGTCAAAAGCATCACCATGGCTGTGCTGACCTTCAGAAAGGAGAGCTGGATAATAATAAGGAATCTTGTTTCAAAGAAGTAGAAGGACATGTAAGACAGTTAAACCCTCTCAGTTAGCACAGAGACTCCTGAAGGACACCAAACTGGGAGCACAGCACCAGCATGTGCCACTTACTGGAAATCCCTTGGGAAAAAGGTAAAAGGAAATTGGCACAGAAAAACAGAAAAGCGAGGGAAGTTACTGGAATTAAGATTTTAGCATTCAAAATTATGAAGACTGGAATTAAGATCTTAGTATTCAAAATTATGAAGATGTGTCTCAGTGAAGAAAAGGAAGAAGTTACAAATTCTAAGAAAATAAACATAAAACTACAATTAGACTACCATTTGCTTTGTAAATGTTGTGGCAAAATTTCAAGGTGTTAATTTTCCCCATAAGTAATTTGACTTGTCCATGGCATCAAAAGACAAATTGATTGCTCCATTCACTGCTTCCCCTGCCATTCATATCATGCAGATCAGTATGAGAATGAACATAAAGTGCTGCAGAATAGAGCCCTTTTATACTTGTTTTAGACATTAAGAATGATAATATGAAGTCTAGGACAAAAACAGATCTAAATGTTTCTAAACCATCTTTTCTGAACTCTACAACTTGTGCAGCCATATGAATCTGTCCCTATTCAGATATGAGAATGCCATTAATGTGTTGTAAATCAAAGTGCCTGATTTTTATATCCATACCCTGCAGTCACTTGACACGTTTATCTGTGCCTTATTACTGTCAGATTTACTCCCTGATACAGCAGGGCCAAATTTATCATGTTTACAATTGCTGATGTTCCAAATTCACACAATTCCCACTCATATGCAACTAGATCCTGCCTGGTTATAGCCACAATTTGCTCCAGGGTCATGCCACCAATTTGGCCTCTCTGTTCCCGTTTTCATAGCTTGCAGTAAAGAAATGGATAAATGCAGCATTTTTTCCATAAATGAGTTGTGATTTTTTAAGGAATTAGCTAAGTATACATTACCTTTTGTTTACTTCTCATGACCTGTAGTCTGAACGAGTTCTGCTGGAATTCAGTAAAATGAATTCTAGAATGGCTTGCATAAGAGTTCTTAAAAAAAAGAAAACCCAAACACGATAGCAATGAGAAATATTTTTACCAAAGGCTCTTGCAATTCAGAAGGAGAGTCACTAGCTTGAGGACAAACTGATCATCTAATTTACCTCTGAACTGAAAAGGATTAGTAATACAATTTTGTGTATTCTTGAGCAGCTTTGCCATGCTAAGCTTCTGCCTAAGTGCTTGCAGCATCAGGACCCTTTGTCCCAGAACCACTGGCCCGCTGTGTAGGAAGAAAATATTTTTTAAACAATTCAACAAAGAATTGAAAACAATCAATTGAGGATAATCAAGATGATAAGAACATGCATCAAGAAGAAAGGCACCATAAGACACTGAAGAAATAATCTGCTACCATTTATTTCCCTCACATTTCCATTTATTTCATCCATTTATTTTTCCTAGCTCTTTCTACAACTATCTTCATTTTCTCTTCTACTTCACACTTAGATTTTTTTATGTTGTGATTGCACTTATCTCCAATTCCTCTTAATGGCTTGATATTTCTAATACTATATTTTAAAATATCATCTTGTGCATTCTGTACTTTATTGCCATTATATAAATGTTTGGTTCCCCTAAAACTAAAAATAGCAAATAAATTTTTGAGGGGCAGATAAAATGATGGAGATTTTTATTTTGCCTGTTCAAATACAGTTTTTCAGGAGACATTTTTAGGGTTGCCTTTACTTTGTTTGGTGCTTTCCTGCAGTTACAGCAGGCAGTGGTTTAGTGAAAATTTCAAAATAAAACATTACTGTGCATTAAAAACAGTACAATGGGGTTTTGGACACCAGCACTCTTTAAAAGAAAAAAGAAAAACCAAGACAACATTCCTAGGTTCCCTCTGTTGTATCAGCCTGTTCCTGGCCAATTCTTCAATGTCAAAAAACCAGGTCACTCAGTCTTTTGTCACAGAAAAAACCTCAAACCCAAACATATAAATTCTGGACAATAATTAGTAATTATATAAGATGGCAAGCTGTTTTTTTTTAAAGCAAATAAATATGCATTTTTTCTTGATTTACTATGTCCATTAAATATTTACATAATTGCATTCTAGTTACTCTCTAGCATATGTATTATACTATAAATACTCAGAACATGATTTTTAATTTTAATTATAATTGATGTCTGTTTTTGCACTTTTACTACCTTCTCAATATAATTTCTTTTCTTTAAGCTGTATGACTGTCAAAACACCATTATTTTAAGATTATCTACCTGTTAGCTTGATTTTTTATTTCATTATCAGCCAGTAAGAAATAAACAGTAAATCAGAGAATCTAATTTTGTTAATGGAACTTAACTCTAGGCAATCTGAAAATAAATAAATAAACCCTTGTCCCTCCAACAACCATAAACAGACTGTGAGAAGACTACCAGAAAATACATCTCAGAAAACTGTTAGAAGTGCAAAAAGTCCATAAAGTAAAGCACATGGGTATGCAATCAGGAGCTGCTGTCCTTCCATAGCCAATGCAGACGTAAAAATTTTGGAGGCTGACAAACTGCACCATCCAATAATAAACAGGGCTAACACAGTTCCTGGGGTCCCCCTAGGAGAAAAACAAAACAAAACAACACAAAAGAAACATGACAGAGTCCACATATTACTAAGTGTAGCATCAAATCTTACCAAACTCAAGTTCATGTCATTGATGGGTAACACCCAATGGAAGAACCAAGAACTAACCGACATAATGAAAGTCAAGCATGAGAGCAAATGAAAATTGTAACCACAAACAGAAAAAAAAAAATGTTCAGGATGGATAAAAGCTTCATCAGAAGTACTGCAAAGAGCACTGTACATTTACAAATAAATCTGGGCCTCGAGCAGATGCAGCTGCTTAAGTTTAATATTAAATTTAGCCAAGTTTATAACACAGAGAATAGATTTTAAGGGCGCCTTAGACACTCAGGAGAGGCTCTGAAAGACTCACACCAGCTGGATGGGCAGAAAGGTCTCCCAGGAAAAAGCTGACTGGCCTTTTAAAAAAGTGAGCACACTGAGCACAAAGTAAGGAGTGGGAAAAGAACCACCAAGGAAAAACATTTTGCTTATCTCGGCATCCTTCTCTGCACATTGAAAGGACTGTAAGTTTCCACCCTACATCTTGGTGACAGCTGAGCCCATTTGAAGTTACACTGTGCCCCCTTCCAGGAGCAGGGAGACCTGGAGAACTGATGATTATGGGACTACGGTTAAAAGCCCACTGAAATACTCCTGCAGATTATAGAGGGCTCACTATTAAACCCTGTGGGAACAGAATCTTGCCAATAAATAATGTTCCACATATGCTTTATTTGCACTCTATTTGCAGCCTGCTTCTGTAAAATGCATGAGATCATGTGCATAATACACTGCTGAAGCACATAATGAGAGAGCTACTTTGCACACTTTAGCTGCGTCAGTCTCAAGGACTTGGAGAAAGAATAAACCTCTGCCACTTCCTTAAAGGCCCTCCTGGCTCCCCACTCTCCCAAATCATCAGCATAACAGAAGCACAAGGGAAAAACTGACTGTGTATACATACTCAGGTAGGTCCTTTTATCAGAAATTATCTCCACTAATATAATTATTTCAACTAAATCATGATGAATAAATCTGTCCTTATGTAATTGACTTAGTTTACTTAATGCATTCACATCACATAAAATAGTTGATTTCCTAGCAATCCAGTCACCAGGCCAATAATGTACTTGGTGTTGCCAGCTCTTGGGCCTTTGAGGGAGGAAGGAAAAAACTGATTTCATGGTGACTCAGCACCTCATTGCAACTTCAACAAGTTAAAAATAAAACATTAAAGACCATGTGATTTAATATCCTCAGTTTAAGTGTTTTTTAAACCAATATAATGGCATTTAGAGAAATTCCACTGGGCTTTGCAAAGCAAGTTGCTGGTCTCTCCTCCAAGGAGATGCTAAGTTGCTCACCTAAACAGTGAGCCAGAAATTCAGACCTGGCAGGGATGGCTCTTTGAGCAGGTACCCTTGCTGGCAGAGGGATGGGATGCAATAGGAACATACTGTGCAATGACAATTTTCAGCTAACATAATGACTCTTTGGGGGCTGTAACAACCTGGCACAATTTAGAGTTGTGGCTGCTCTGCCTTGCACTGAAGTCCAATGGCCTCTCATGGTTTGTTCTAGGACTGGCAGAGAGCAGGATGGAAAGGTGGCATAAAAAAATCACATCAGGATCAAGAGGTACCTCTGTGCACTTACAAATTCAGTCCTCAATCTAACAATGTGTTACTGCTAAAATAAATGGTTTGGCAGAGAGTTTTCTGTCTGGCATGTCCACAAGGGTCAAATCCTCTAGATGGGAGAAGGGCAAAAAGCACAAGTCATGCTTACAATGGCCAAGAGGTCTGGGGCTGTACTGGTGTGAGATTGAGATGGAGGGACACATGTGAGTGGACCATTTCCACTTCTCTTTCTCTCACATCCTGCAGATGCTGTCACCAAATGGGTTCTCTGTATCAGCTGGGTGTAAGAATTGCTTTCTTCATGCTTACATTAACTTCCTTCACTGTTTAGTTAAGGAAGTAGCTTTACCACCCTGTTTGGGGATTTGATATTAAAGAACTGTTGTTGCTTTCTGCAGGAAAAAAGTCTATTGATATTTCTCCCAGAAAAACAACATAATAAACTTGGGCTCACACATGAAAACAGTATAGATGGACACAAACAAATCTAGTTCCATGCAAATTTGAGTAAGAGAACTGGTATTCTCCTTGGTACTATTCAGTACCCCAAACATTCCATATTTTGCTTTATTTATTTACAGGAAATAGCTACTCATGAAAATTCAAAATTATTAGATTAGTATGTATCTTTGCTATAGATGAGTGAATTATCTTATGTATACTTTTGGTGGAAAAAAATCCAGATTATTTCTTTGAACTTTGAAATAGAAGTAATGTTTTTATAAATATTTTTAAAAACCATAAATGTATTGCTCTTTCTTTTACCATTTAAAATATTTTTTAAAATTAAAAAAAAATGAAATGTATGTTGGATTTTAAAGTTGCCACTTAATTTTAATAGCATGTTTACAATAATTAACCTTGGTACTTGATATGTTCAAGCAGTTTCATATACCAAATGAGAAAGCACTGCAGAACCCTGTCAATAGGTACTTAATGTTAGCAATTCATTTCAGAAATACCAGTTCATTTTTGTCAAGGCTATCACATTTTAGTATTTATAGATTTTCAAAAGATGGGCTTTCCGTAAATTCACAGCATTTTAAAAACGTGTAGTGTCTGCCTGGGGACTCCATGTACAGAAAACAGCACCCTGCATAGTTGTAACAGCTGGTTTGGAATTCGCCCCATCTGTCTTATGATTATGTATCTGCACATTTTATTAGGTTGGATTATTAAACAGGTTAATCAAGAAAATATGGGAAGTGTAGGAGAACAGAGAATAAACAGCTTCTTTAATGTCATCATCCATCTTATCAAAGACAGCTCAGAAACACTTTAATTCATGGGATATAGTCAGGTTAAGCCATCATAGCTTTTCAGAAACATGCAACAAGAATTTTTTCCAAAAATTCTTTCCACCATATAATTTCCTTAAAATATAAATAAATAAATATGCACATATGTAAGAACAATGCTTTTCCAAAGAAAACAAACACGGGCGTTTTCTCATTCATCAGCTGCTAGGTTCCATATGTTACAGAATGGAGAGTTAAAAATATGAGAGAACAAAAAAGATTAAGGAGAGAAACCATCATTAATAACATGTTAACAATAGACAAAAGCACTGCTCAAGGCCTTCAGGCAAGATCTGGAACTTGCTTGTACTTTGCTCTGTGTGAACAGGGAGATAAACACTGTGTCTCAAAGGGTTTCCTGAACGAGGAGAAATGAGAGGCTTGCCAAAAAGTTTCCTATTCAGAGAATATGACTGAACAACCCCCCACATGTGCATAGATTCTTACATCACTACACATTTGGTTTTTCAAAGTATTCTGCTTTTTTCAGGCTTGCACTTGCATAACTATACTTCAGAATATACAAGTCTGTTGCAGACATCTTTTATGAAAATCCTTTTCTTCTTTTTTCCTGCTGAGAAGCCGAGAGGTTTCAGCAACAAAATGTAAACAATGGTTATCGGCTGCTCTGGAATGCAACAGATCCATCTGTGATTGGCCCATCTTGGATGTTTACAATTAATGGCCAACCACAGCCCAGTTAGCTTGGACTCTCTGTCTAAGCCACAGACCTTTGTTACTCATTCCATTCTATTCTTAGCTAGCCTTCTGAGATGAACCCTTTCCTTCTATCTCTTTTTAGTATAGTTATAATGTAATATATATATATATCATAAAATAATAAATCAGGCCTTCTGAACATGGAGCCAACAACTTCTGTCTCTTCCCTCATCCAAGAATCCCTGTGAACACTATCACACAAGTCTACTTATATCTTGTCTGAATTCTCCACATCATTAAGGGTAACTTGGCTATTTCATTCTGTCCTGCAGAAGTCAGTAGGAAAGTAAACATAAAGATGGGAGGCCAGATGCTATGAACAAAAAAGAGGCAAGAGAACTAGCTATATAAGCCCAAAGTTCAGCAATTGCTTTTAAAATTGATACCTCAGTTTGGCTCTGCAAAACAAAAATCACACCTGAAGCTCTGCAAAAATCAAAAGCGCTCCCAGTCCAAATGGAATGAAGTGGAATTGAAGACTCATCTAAATTAATGCATACAGCCCTCTCAAATACATTCCAGTTTTGTCTGTTTCCACCTAAACACAAAATCAAACTGGTGTTACAGTTTTATAAACCAAAATTTACTACACGACCACTTATAAAATGTTTTGCAGAATGCCAGCCACCTGACTTACTGTCCTTCCCAGGACTCCCACTGCCATAGGCTGGTACTTACTGCAGAGAGAAGAGAACTGCAGCAGAGGACAGCAGAACCATGGGCAGCAGGCAGTAGCCCAGCACACTTGCAACACAGCCGTGAGAGACTCCCGAGACGCTCATCAGGTTCAGCAGGGCATGCATGGCAAGGCACCCGATGGCACTTATCCCGTACACGTAGCCAAAATGAACTTTCCCTGCCTGCAATAAATAAGAGGAAGCATGAGCTGGCAGAAGCGAGCAGTGATCACTAAGTGCTAGTAGAAGACAGATTTAGGTTTATGTTTTTTATTTCTTGTTGACACTTTCTCTCTGCTTCACCTGCATCAGTTCAGTTGTGAGCCACAGATGATACTTTTGAGTGATTTTTGCATAAAAATAATTCAAAGGTGCAATTGACAAAATGTGCTTGTTGCTAACTTAGAGTTACAAGGCTGATTCTCACTTACTTATGGGGCTCTGAACACAACTGGAATTGGTTGAGAGATTTGGGAAAGTTTAACTGGCAACAAACTAAGAAGAAATTATGGAAAGCACATTTTAGTCATTAAAAATCAGTTTAGGCTCAGGAAACATCTTTTCAATAAGTGTATATGAGACTGTGAAAAAGTGTCCTAAGTAACATGATGACCCAAGTTACCTGATGTGCTTCACATTTTATTACAAACCTTCAGCTATAAACAGGTCTGCAAAAAATTGGGAAAATTTTGCTTAAAATATGGTGGTTTTCAGGGCAAGTGTGACTGGTTTTTCCCTTGACTTCCATGAGAAGGATATATTTCTGTGCTTAGACCAACACAACATGTTCATTTCAACATAAAACTCAGCGGTAACTGTCAGCTTATGTTCTTTTTTTGTTCTAACAAATGAAAAAAATCCCAGATTTTTTTTCCTTGTAGGTTTTATTCCTTTGTTTGAATTTATTGCCTATGAAAGGTACCAGCCTGGCAGCCTGGAGCTTGATGTTTTCTAATTTATACACAAAGCTAGTAAAACAGGCAACTGTGGCCACAGAATCACCAATTCCTTCATCTCCTGCCATCATTTTGAAGGATCCTTCCAGGCATAAGGGCATTGTTCACTCCCCAAAATAAACCATCACAAAAGACTGTTAAATATGTTTTTGTCTCTCTTCAAGCTTCTAACAAATTAAATGCTGAAAGTCGCCTATGCAATACTGTCATTTCCACATCTGTATATAAGATAAACATTCATAAATCAGAAATCTATTTTTTTCTTGGAACTTTGAATCCTAATGATAGAATGCACCTATGAAGGAGAAAGTTCAGACCTGGAACTTAACCATTAACTTAGAACCATGAGTGAACTTCTTGAATGAAGGGCCACTATGCATCACCTTCCTGACACATAATAGGATGTATGTACATACATAAAACACAAGTGTTCTTGTTCATACACACACACACACACACACACACACACACACACACACACGCTCTATATGTTGCACACACTATATACCATATATATAGATATATTGCGTATGACAAACCACAGAAGACTCAAAACTAATAGAAGGTCTCTGTTTCCTAATAATGCTGTGGCTTATGGTTGGATTCTGTTGAGATAGATTAAGTGGAAACATGCTGAAGCTTGTATCATGTTTTGTGATGCTAGTTTATCTTCCATGATGGCTAAGGAGGATTGAGAAGATCTCTGGCTTTACTTATCCCTACATTTTAATGAAATCTGGGGGAAATCAACTTTGAGGACCCTTTTCTGACGTCTCTTTCTGTATCCATGCCTGTGAAAATCGATCACTGGATGCCAGCAGTATTTGAGTTGGACAGACATAAAGCAAGCAGCAGTATGGAGAAGGCCTGGTGAGTACACAGCTTGGAAGTCCTGATGCTGCAGGCTGGTGGCAGCTCACCAGCTCTTGTTGGAGAGCAGTTCATGAATGTGAAATGCAACCTCAGTTAATAAGACCTGACTTTACATCACACCATTATCCTGTCTGCACTCTGACCTGGCTCACTGCTGAGCTCTCCTCTGCTCCCAGTCCTCAAGGTTAAGTCAGGACCAGCCAGGTTGCCTATATATCCTTCCAGCATCCTGGCCTGTTCCCCATTTCTGTCTTCCACCATAAAGACTGATCTATTCCTGAAATCACAGCAAAAGAATTCTTCCTACTTAGGTACAGACTTCTTTTGCCGGCATTTGCATACTAGTGGTATAAAATAATCAGGGAAAATTGCCTGAACAAATAAAAGTAATGATAGCTAGAGATAGTGTGGGAGAGCAATACTAGCTCAGATGATTATCAACTAGAACTCCAGTCATTAAGGATATACAGTAAGTTTAACACTCACAATGGTTTGGGGCAGCCTTTGCTATACACCAAGTTCTGTCTCAAAACAGATGAGTGAACTACAAGATATATTTTAGACTGTTTCAGTGTATATAACTGTTCTACACAGCACTATTTATTTATTAGCTTAGTTTAAGATTAAAAAAATTCCTGAGCCAGAGATGAAGGAAGCACTAGCACCAGCACCCAGCTGAGATCTCCAGTTGGTGAAATGTTGGATTTGTGGTGCAAGGATATGAGAGAAGTAAAAAAAAAAAAAAAAAAAAAACAGCTGAACATGTTGGTTCCGATTTTATTCTTACTTAACATATGCAAATATATTGACTCACACACATGGGAATACTCCCAGTTCACAGTGATGTAAGCAAAACCAGAATCAGGCTTGATTAGTCTGACAGGCTTTGATGAATGGAAAGAGCTAAATTTGTCCTGTGGAAGGAGCAAGGTTAGCAGAAAGTCAGACTTTGTGTTCTTGCTTGCATCTTCCTGGAGTGGGTGCTACCACCGTTGGCTGGAGAGGATGGGGAAATCTGATTTCATTCAAACGACAGTGTAAAATGCAAAGCAGCTGAGACTTGGGCTTCTGCTAAATTTGGGGCTGCCATTGTTTCTCTATCTACAATGGAGCTGCCCTGTTTTACACTAAGGTGAGGAAGAACAAGTCCAGCTGCCGGGCTAGCAGCATTTTCCTCTTTTTCTCTGAAAGGACTGATACCCTTTGAAGAATATCTTTGCATAATTTTCCATAGTTAAAAAGCTGAAACTAAAGAAAATGTACACATTATTTTTAGAAACAAGCTCTCAACCAAATTATGTTCCTGGTGCTATCAGAAGATACTTATTTAAGTACAGAAGGATATCATAGTTTACACAGCTGAAGAGACACGTTAGTATTCAAATACATCTGAGATAAAATGGTAGCCTGAATTTCTAAGATAAACCCAAAGGCTTACTGCTGGGAAGTTATGGAACAAAAACACTGGATTGTGTCAGAGGTATTCTGCTGCCCTAAAACTGGAGCATTGAAAATACTTGGCTTTCTAATGACACCTAAAATGCATAGTATCTCGGCAAAAATATGATAATTAAAGTAATTTATTTCAATAATAATGGTTTAATATTCATTATAACTGTTGGCTATTCAGGAAGAAAAGTCAACAGGAAACATTTTTTCTGTTCTTTCTTTTAGCTTTCCTTTAATTTTCTTGATTATAATTAATTCAACTTTCTCTTTTTACTATCCTCATACATTTATTTCTCCAGGTGGAAAATAGCCTGTCTTCTCTAGCTTCCCACCTTCTTTTCATTTTATTCCCTTTCCTCCTGCCCTTCAACCCTTTTAAAAAATTTTTATTTTTATGGGAACATAAATAATAATGCTACTTGCCATTTATATAGCAGTTTGCACATTCAAGGTACTGCATTGACATTACAAATTGAAAGTAAGAACTTTCAAGAATCTTCTGATTCAGCACTATTTATCACAGAGGAAATGGAGAATTAGAGCCCCTTTCCTCTGACCTCAGTTGCAGGGCAGTAAAGCCCTTCCCAGAAAGGTCCCACCTTACTGCTGTCTGATGAATTGCTGTTGGCAGTCAGAGCTGTACTTCAGCAACACGGGAGAGCCCCTGTTGCCAGGGATATATAGATGAATTTGGAGTTCTGCACAACCCTGTTAACTTTGCTCCTGTAGGAAAGCTACATTCATACAGAAGAAGGAGGTCAAATACAGGCTACTATATTTTGTTAAGCAGAACAAAGAATATAAAATAAGAATATAAAATAGGTACTAGCAAAATTTATAGGAAGGCACTGCAAATTTAAGGGGGTGGGCAGAAAAAGACTGTTTCAATTTCTTTCTTCTCTAATTATTCTAGTTGTATAAAGTTTTTATTTTTAGTCTATCTGTCTCTGCACTCTAAAATAACATTGAAAGAAGATAATTCCAAAGAAGTAGCAAGAGTGTTAGAAAAACTGGGCTGGCATGTTATTCCTCTTTATTCCCTCCTTTAAAACCTGTTCAGAGCCTTTCCAGATTATATATGGCACAGATCTGTCCTTTTGTTCATATAAAATCCCACTCTAAAAATGGTGTGGTCTCCTCTTTCCACTGGAAGTAATACATCACTTTACCTGTGTCACCTTTACATTACATTTCAATTTTAAGCAGGTGCTTTGAAAGTAGGAAGAATTTTTAACACATAATCCCAGAATAACTGGCAGCAAATGACTCTTTTTATGCTGGTACCACATCTTCTGCAGCTTCACACTCATTATCACCTAGGCATGAGCTTGTTAGAAAAGAAATCCCTCAAGATTTCTACGACATCCTACCATCAGCAATGTTGCTCCAAGGGCCAAACAGAAAACCATAGGTCCAGTGAGGTCTGTCTCGTTCATAATGCTGCCATCTGCAGGCTTCATGGGGTTTAGAACTGTTAATGTTTTCTGCCATATATGCTCAAAATTGATCCCAAGTTCTGCAACAAGAAATTTCAGGATTTTGTTAATTGCTCACAAGAAAACAACACTTTTACAAAACTCCATTAGACATCACAAAATTATAAACAAATGCTTCAGTGAAGATAATACTGTAGGATGACATATTCTGTATTAGGAACATAATGTCCCTGCTATGTACTCAGTATATTTGAGAGTCAGCTTTCATTCTAAATTGGAATATTAATGTATTAAGTCTGATTTTAGTCAGTGAAGCAAAAAATGGCCTCAGCATTTTTGAGTTAATATTTGTTTTTCCTATATTTAAAACACACATATCTAATGCCACGCTAACATAGATGTTGAGAAACCCATTAATTAACAATAACTGCAGAATTTAAGATACTCTGCAACACTGACGACAGAGATATATACTTTAATTCTGGAAAATCTGACAAGAAATGTGTCTTAAGCCTGAACTGCCAAAAGCACTTAAAAATGACATTTTTTCCTTCAAGGCAAGTTTATACTACTTTATACAGTGCTTTATAGGCTTAGGGGTTTGTAATGTGGTTGTTTTTTGGTTTTTGGGGTTTTTTTTTGGAGTGGCAGATATCTGCATTTAAAAAGTAATTAGTGAGACCCCAAAAAACAGAAGAAAATTCTGTCCCATTAAAGGTGATGGGAATGCTGCCATTAACTTTCCTGGGGCAAATCTTTATCTTATAACTTCTGGAGAAACGTTTCAGCTTGCACGAGTAATCATCTTCCCTGAGATTCTTCAGTAAGGGGAAAATAAGGTCCAGATCTGCTGGCAGAATGGCTGAGACTGACAATGAGTTAGATCTGTTAGGAAAGCCAAGTCTTTACCTTGTTCCACCTCTCCATCATCTTGAGCTCAGTCAAAACACTGCATATATAAAGCTATTCTGCATTAAAATGTGTGGTTTTGGTCAGATTTATGTGGTACACAGATAGGAATATCTCTAAAGCCTTGCAGATCACAAGCAGTTGTATTACAACATCCTTTTCCCAGGGTGAACCACACGGGGAATTAAATGGTTGGGGGTTTTAGAGGTAGAGATCCAGCAGTTATCTATATCAAACAGAACGATCTTGCTGGCTTTAAGGCAGTAGTAGTCCCTTTTGAGTAGCTAAAACTCCAGCTGCCTTCCAGTATGCAAACTAGCAGGCTGAATATGCTCATTTTTTATTATGCTGAAATAATTGCAGACAAATGCTCCTTTTTTTTTTTTTTCCTAATACAGCACAAGTATTTTACTAGCGACAAAATCAGCCACTAGCATTAGAATGGTCAATCATCATAAAGAACGGCATTGCTCATCCAGTTAAATGATCAACTAATTGGAACTGAACGCAGCTTTCTCAATTCCTTCCCCACTGAAACAAGCGACTTAGCATCTGCAAACTCCTAAATCTATTACTAGATACGCAAAAAAAGATGATTATCCATCTTCATTAGTTATAGATTTTCCAATATGTACAGAGGATAAACGCAAGAATGGAAACTATTTTGAAAACGTGAATGAATGCAAAACTATTGTTCTGCTGTCATCTAGCGGTGGTACAGTATATCTGCTCTAGGCCACAAGGCTGCAGGAATCCAGGGTGGATTCGAGGGAGAAAACGCAGGTTTGGCCGCCAGGAGCTTTGGCTGAAGCTCACAGAGCGAGGCTTGCCAGCTCTGCTGCAGTTTCTGTAGTGAGTTCCATCTTCTAGCTGGCAGAGAAAAGTTAGAGGCACCCCCAGGAATCCTGTAGGTCATCTGTGGGATTAGTTTTGTTATAGATACATATTATAATATTGGCTTTTCACAAATATTGAAATAGATTTTATATGTGTAATGTTCAAGTAACTTTGTTATAATGATACAGTTTTATTTCTGCTGTTAATCAAGCTAAGACATAGTAGTGAAATAGCTGATATACTTGTGTTAAAATATCTGCTTAGGTGAGTTTCATCCAATGAACATATGAAGAAAACACCTGCTACAGAGATGCCAACTATCAGCACTCACCGTCTGAAGACAGTGTGAGCCAGAGCCCAAACTGAAAATAATGATAAAAAAAGACTAAAAGCACAACCAAAGAATACACATGCTCTAAAAAGGCAAATCCGAAGAGGAGATATGCTAAACAATTCTTAGAACATGCAAACTAGTTTGAAGGAAAAGTTTACTAAGCATAAGAGTCTATGAATATGCAAGAGGCTGATGTGAGGGACAAGATATTTAAAGTGTGTCCCCAAAGATAACAGTGTGCTCCTGACTGAGTGCCAGGGTGCACCCGGCCCCAATAACCTTTGCTCTGTAGTCCTTGTCTCCTATTGTCCTTTATTAAACTTCTTAAATTTTCACAAGAGAGTGAATGTGCTTTTCACAGTTTTACCTTCTAGCAAAGGAGGTTCCTCATCAAATCCGTCAACATAACCAAGCTGGGAAGGAGCGTCGGGGCTGCAGGCTGGCTGCAGGATGCTGCCCGAGTAGCTCTGCTGTGGGGACAGCAGCATGTCTGATGGCACAAACCCTCCGCCTGCAGGCTGCTCCTCTGCCTGGCGCCTGGGACAAGGAGCAAAGCACAAACTCATAGCTACAGTGAGAAACGTCTGTTACAGATGGATAATGAGATGATTGGCTCTCGCAATAAAGGGATAATTGTTGTGTGAATGTTAAGAAAAGTTTAGTGATGTGTAGTTCTGCTATTGTAGTTTAGATGTCCTCTGTTCTCCTCACAGTTCCCTTTCCCCCCTGTATTGTGACCATCAGACAGCCGGGGTTGTCTAGGACAGGTAAAAGAAGGGGGGCACATGTGTCCATTGCATGGGGCAGTTGGGAATGGAAAAGCTTGGTGCTGAGGGGGTGCAGCATGGCAACACCTGACCTCCAATCAAGTTACACGAAAGCAATCTCCACTGATAAATGGCAAAGAAGAGCTGACTGACAGACTTTGGGAAGGACCAGGGCTGGCTGATGTAACCCCCAGAGGTATAAAGACTGAGCATCCACCTTGAAGAACTGGCCACATGGTATGCATGAGGAGCAGTTCTCAGTGCTGCAGCTTTTTCCTTATGTAGTCCTTTTGTTGTATTTTTGTCAAAGTTTAATAAACCCTTTTAAATTTTCAAAGTGAGCAGTTGTTTCTTACATGTCTTAGAGCTATTCACCATGTTCCACGTACTTTTCAGCTATTTTCAGTGTGGGGAACCTGGAATTTTTCTGGGTCCAGTCCTTGCTGTGGGGAATAAGAGCTGAGCTGTTGCTCCCTGCCAGCCTGCCAGGACTCTGCAGCCCCCAAACCCACTACCACTCCCACATCCAGGCACTTGGGGCTTTTTTCCCCAGCAGCCTGGTGACACTCCTCAGATCCATCCGTACTGCTAATGAAAGAACCATACATTTAAATTTTTTCCTTGAATCTCAGAAGGATCCTAAAGAATTTCCTGCAATATGCAGCCTAAATTTCACATTAATAACATGAAGCTCAGTTAGTCCTGTCAGGTAAACAACCTGTAAGACCTCTACTAATAAAAGTAGCACAAAATCAAATCCTTTAAAAAGAAAAAATTCACTTATAAACATTCTGCCTTTCTGAATTTTAGATGATGTCTTGAACTTCTTTCCTGCTCCTGTAAGCCCCAAAGCCGGCCCCAGAACCACCATCTGTTGGAGAGGGAAGCTGAAGCAACACCCACACTTACTTTCTGCTTTCACAGGGGTTTTTGTCTGAGCCATAGCTGTTGCAACCTTCTTCCTGGTCCTCTATGGTATAATTAGACTGGTAAAAGTCGATGTGAAACTGCTCAAAACTTGACATTCTGGTTAGAAAAAATGATTGCAAATATCATAAATAGCCTTTACAACAAGCCAAAAATCTATGTTTTGAGCTGCCCTAAACTTAAATTAAAATAGCAAACTGTAAAGCCCCAAACTCAAGAGCATCTTTCTGTAGAAGCTCATGGTAATTTGCAAGTGACAAAAAAAAAGACCATTTAATTTCTTTAGCTGTAACAAGAGGAATTAATCTGCTTTTACTGGAAATTACAGTATATTAATTTAAAAGTGGTATATCAGACTTCCTATCTCAATATTGTTACCAAAAATAATGCAACTTTGAAGGAAGATATATATCTACAAAATATTTTTTTAAACAGTTCATTTTCCTACTTTCAATAAAAAAATTGTGACCCTAAGTCAATGTTTAAAAATTAAGGTTTTAGGAAGTACTTAGGATTTCAAAAACAATTACTATTTACAATGTTTTGCAATATTATATATGACTGTAATAAAACAATAGGAAAAAAACCCAGATTTGTTCAGAAAATCTGTGATTTCTGTTCAAGGACACAGCTGGCACATCAGTGGTAGCAGAGGCACATTCTCACTGGCCAGCAACATGACTGGTAAAAGACAGCATACTGGATGATTGAATTGGATCAATGATTGGATGATTCCTCAGTGAAAAGATATGCTAAAGTATATATTTCCTTCCCACTGCATGTGTTTCCCCACTTGGCTAGCACTTAGGTAGTTAAGCCCTTAAAACCCACAGAGAAGTTACATAACCTGACTGAAAACCATAGCCATATCCAACTTACTTAGATTTTCATGTGAGATAGTCATCTCTCGTAACATTTCTCATTTTTTTCACTTTTGTCCTCATTTCCAACTTTCCAAATGCCATTGGCAAAATATGCTTTGGACCTCGCAGTTATTCTTAGAGTTATCTCAATATTTATCAAGCACACTCTGCTTATGGGAAAGATCTTTGCAAATCTCTTTGTAAGATAAAAGTGATAAAGATTACTGCTTCATCAGGGACCTTAAAATGCTGCATATTAGAATTTCTGATTTTTTTTCCATTATCCGTCTAATCTTTGGGGACTTATTTCCTTATTTTACCTAGAGTTCAAAGCAGAAATTGCTCTTAGGTTATTTTCTTAACTCCTAATCAATTGTGCAGGTTTTCAAAATAATTTTTACATTTTAAATATGAATTAATAGAAATTATTTTACCAAGCTATTTACTGTGGCTTTATTTGGAATTGCACACCATTTAGTCATTCTTTCAATGCAGATTTCACACAGGGCATGTTTTAAGAAACTTTAGTTGGTAGCTCTACCTCAATAGTTCAATTCCAGTAAGTATTTAATGTCCTTTGCTGTCACTATACAGAATGAAATAATTGCTTAACCAGGTAGGGTTAACAGAGTTCAGAAAAGATAAATTTATTTTCGAAAAAATTTGGAGTTAAGGTTACTTACGTTTTAAGATATTTGGTGAAAACTCCAGTCTGTTGAATTTACATGTTGAAGAAGACCTAAAATATCCTCTTGCTTCAACAGGGATGAGCTTAGTGCTATTTATAAGATTCTAAATTTGATATTTGAACAGATGCACATGAAGGAAAAAGCCTCACAACCTGTCAATATCAGGGCCAGCATTTAACAAGAGCTAACAACAATGGGCAGAGAAGGGTAGGAACCTTCGAGGAAAAATGAACAAAATGAACAAATATTGATCCATATATTTCAACTCAATAATCTAGATTCCCTTTTAAGTAAGTATTTATGAAGATCTTGTTGGAGCCCTCATTAGCTGAGCTGTTGGACATTAAAAAGGGTAATACTATCTGTTAAAGCAGAGGGCTGAATACACTTATTTGAGGGTGTGTTTCCAGCAGCCAGAGACCTGGGATGGCTGTGGGATGCTCCCTGGGAACACTGTGGCAGAGGGAAGGAGGGAGGGAGGCTGAGCACCCTGCTGGGCCAAGTCCCAGTGCTGGTCCAGGGGCAGAGCCCCGTTCTCCAGGCACATCCCCCTGCCCCTCTGCTCCTCCAGGGGCTCTCTCTGCTTGCAAAGCTGTCTCCTGAAGTGCAGTACCCACCTTGCCAGCATCAGTGCAAGGAACCTCTGTTCCATAGTCCTGGCTACTAGGAAACACCAGCACAGGCTGGATTTTTAAATAGATTTCAAGCTTCAAAGATGACTTTTCAATTTACACCTGCTTTTGTTTGACAAACTTGACTAACCACAGCAAAGGCTGCTTTCTTCACTTCTTTATTTATTGGGTAGTTTCCCCAAAAAGCACTTGGGCTGTTAAATTTCAGGAATGCAACATTAAATTATATGTATTATCAGGTAATAAATCTATGCCTCAGGTGCATATTCAATCCTGTGATGTTGAAGGCCAAATAATTCCATTTCATTAGCAGAACAAAGATGAACTGGTAGCACATGACTTACAATGTTATAGAAGAGTTATAACGTAAGTGCATTTTAAAATAACTTAAAATGAAGTTTACCAAGTTTTTGCTCAGTAAGTATGTTCAAGAAAGAGTTCAGAAGTAAAGAATGGTGAAAAGAAGAAAAGATGTGACATTTGATTCTGAAGATTAAGGGTAATATAACTACAGTAGTTATCACAGCTAGTGTTACGTCTCCCTCATGTTCTGCTATTTCTAGAGTAACAGTTTATGCTGCTACATCCACCTAGGTGAAATTTCATATTCAACTCATAGCAAACTGCTAACCTCTATAATGTTTGATCATCTCAGTTTAGATAAAATGGCTTCATCTTGTTTATACTGAATCCATGGGGGCAATGATACAGGATTAACTTCTGTCCCTCAGAAAGGTAATTCAAAAATTTCTTTTTAGGAATAGAAAAACATCCTGATTTGCTAGGGTTTTGCCTGTTTATTTAAACTATAAAAGTGATTTGATTACTTTTGCTACTTTCTGTTAGAAATACAAATATATATACCTCTATACAAAAGTGGGAATAATTATCAGACAAAAAACTTCCCAGGAGGATTTTAAATAGAAAAAATTACAATTAATTGCATTGGAATGTGGCCAAATAATACTTTAATAGCCATTTAATATACCACAGTTAGACAAGAAAGGCACCTGTAAATCAAAAAGAGAAAAAAAAAAAGGAACTTAAAATTGAGCCATATATATTTCTCTCCTTATATAAAATTATTATATAACTTATGATACATATTATATATAAATTATATGCATATATTATATTAATAGCCCTGTGGATATGCACATATAAATGGACAAAAAATATAAAAATAGAAGATAATATTAGTTAGAAATTAGAAGTAGATGATTTAAAAAAAAGCTAAGTTTAAGTAGCTGATAGGAAAGTGACTGGTTGAAATAAGGACTGCTCAAGTGCACTAAAAGCAGACAAAATTGAATTGTTACTGCCATGCTCCTAGCAGGTGTAAAAATGAAAGTATCAATAAACAAAAAGACAGATGTCTTTATTAGAAATGCTAAAAGCACCATTTTAAAATTCTGCATCTAAAAGTTTTAGAAGAAATGGTTAAAAACTTTCTATATTGTTGAGTAACAAAACAACAGGAAAGTATGGGAAGATCAAAAATAAGTAAACATGCTATCCTGTAAAAGGCTAAATAAGATGCCTTGAGTAATTATAGGACTGTTCCCATGAGATTGATCCTAGCAAATTATGGGCTCAAATAATAACTAACTGCATTGATGAATCCAATCAACATGGGCTTTTAGAAATGAGCTCATTTCAAAGTAATTTATTTCCTAACAAGATTTGTACTTGGGAAAGGTAACCACCAATGACCCATATTTATACAAAGCCTTTTACTTTATTTTGGTTCAATAGATATGTAACCATCCCTGCTTAGTGTGACACCCATTATACTGATTAAATAGGTGCTATCTGATGTGTCTCAAATGTGATTGGGAAAGAGGGGAGGATTTGCATTGATGCCTTACAGGACAGAAGCTTTCCAAAGATTACCTAGCTGACACTCAGGTACGCCACAGGTACCTGATGTTCAGTCCATCACTGACAGACCACACTAGACAAGGCTGTCACAGATGCATTAACATAAAGGAAAAATAAATTATTGCATTTAAAGCCTTTAGAACAGAGTTTGAAGATATCTTTACTTTTCTTTGAATGGCAGGCACAGAGGATGCTAATAATCTACGGGGAAGATAGTTCAGATGAGGTCTAATCCTCAAAGATGAGAATGAGAATTTAAGCTGGGGAATACAAAAAAGATGAAGAAAATTAATGAAAAATGTGAGAATTTCTAGAAGAAATTAAAAACTTTTCTTAAAGGTTAACTCCTAGGTCTTCATTTACCTACTTTTCCCCATCTTTCCTAAAAAGGAAAATAGATGCAGCAAAAAGTGAAATGTCATCCCTTTACATTTTCATTTTCAGGTTTTGTTTTTTATGAAATGGAATGATACTTCAACTTTTTTAAACTTTCAGGTGAGCATTTTTTGAAAAAAAAATAATAGAATTAAATGAGATTAAATGGGAAAAGATAGAAAAGACTACAGAACTCTGGCTTTAGACTCAGGAATGTAACCATACATTTATTACTCAAAGTAAGCTGATGAGTATGGCAAATCCATTATAATAATTAGTCAATAATTTCATAGTTTTTACATCAAATGTAAAAGTTGATCTTATTAAGGATTAATTCAGCAAGCCTTAAGCTTAATTACTTACATTTACAGGCACCATTAATAATTTTGCAAGTGGACATTATTAAAATGTTCTCCTAAAGAAGAGAGGAAAATTTAATTGCAAATAAATATACCATTCACTATGAAATAGCATTTTATTTTACCACATTAATTACATACATTATATAAAGTGGCGGCTTAGTGAATTTTATGTCTCAGACATATCATTACTGCAAGAGATAAATTCTTTCCTGTAACCAGTCTTCAGAAGGTGGATAAGATTCAAATTTTAAAAAAGAGAAATATGAAGCTATTAGTGCTTTCTTTGTAATGCCTAACAAGTTTGCTAGACTTGAACAAACAAGTGAGAAGTTACAGGTTCCTGCATGAGTAACTGCACCTATCAATACCCATTACAAATCAAACACACAATTCTCCTGCTAGTCGTTATTAGGAAAAGACACTAAAACAGAGGACACCATTATCTCACCGCATGTATCTGTGATTCACTGACAAATTGAATATTATATGCAGTTCTAGCTGTGCTCTCTCAGAAAGTATTTGGGAGGATGGTGACCTGCTGACAGAAGAGCAGGGGAGGTACAGGAGTGTGAGGAACAGGCTCCATCTAACAACAACCAGGTCAGGTCCTTGGGCTGGAGAAGCAATGATTAATTGGGGTTTATGAAACTGCGACCGGGACTGCTGGGCAGGGAAAAGCTGGGGCCTCTTTCTTCTGCAAGACAAACAAAATTCAAGAGGCATTCAAAACTAGGAAAAAAAGGTTCATGAGTGACAGGCTGCTGGAAATCCATGTCAAAGGAGGTTATGCATGTTAAATATCTCTATGCATCTGGAAGTCCATGAGAGTTAAACCAACCAAGAATTACTGAATGCATAGAAACATTATGCAGCTCAAGAAGCCAATAAACAAGAATAAGTAGAAGACTAGAAAAATATTTATGGGAAGAATTCATGATCATCTTTGTGTATTCAATCATTGCCATTGTTAAACAGGGAATTCCTGTTTTGACTTATATAACCATTCAAATCCTTTATGTTTGTGAAGGAGGAAAGCAACGCATAAGATTACAGATTCAAATCTAAACAGGGAAGAAACTCACTGCATAAGACCATAACATCCTTAATTCTCCATGGGCTGAATTTGCTGACTTCCAACAATTACCAAAACACTGCTTTGTATGACTTCTGTGATACCTTTGCTTCCACTCAGCTTCTACTTTTGATTGGAGTCCTTGTTCTCCCACGTCTGCTGTGAGTTAGCTGACTTCTGGTTTTGGATCCATAATATACATCTTCTCCATCCAGCCTTTTTTTCTATCAGAAGCACAAAAAACCCAAAACCAAACCAACCCATCAAACCAATGAACAAAACCACCAAAAAAAAATCCCCTTCAAATGAAGCTTTTTTTGGTGTATGAATCACGCACAAGAGCTGATTCCTAGCTTGATTCTTTGGTGTCTAATAAGCATGAGTGATGTTTTTATGTTTTGCTTAGTGTAGGTACCAACACAATTTCTTACCTCCTAGTAGCTGCCTATTTTCATGACATTTGTAGAAACCTTATTAGCATTAAAAGTTCTCTCTCTCTGTTCAACATATTCAAAATTACCCAACAAATTCAAAATTGTTGTGGAGAATGCCAAAACAGGTAGATAAGGAGCATGGTGAGGCAATACTTTGTCCTTAAGAAATAAAGGCTTGTATGAATTTGAAAAGATAGCAATAAATAAATCTCACTTCATTAATTTTTCCTTTTTTGTTTTCTTGTATCCTTTCTGTTGTTTCACTCTAGCACAGTTTCTTTCAAGTATTCCTTTTCTTGGGGACA